TCTCTCTCTCTCTCTCTCTCTCTCTCTCTCTCTCTCTCTCTCATTCAGCTCAGATCCAACAATGAACTGTTCCAATTATACACTTATATTCACATATAGCTATGAGAAGCATTAAACATGGTGCAGTTGCCGTACTGTATTAAAGCTTTAATCAGAATAAAACCGTATATTAAAAGCAAACATAAGCAGTAGCATTTACAAATAACGGCGTATCTAAAAGTATGCGACAACAACAAACAAAAAACATAGGCCTACCATTAAAAGCCGTGTTTGCACAGGTTCTGCACGATCCTCTTCAATAATATCCTCTGCTTCTCAATCGAGCTCAAACTGATAAGCAATATTAAGGACGCCGTTGTTTACAATACAACCGGAGAACATGCCGCTGAGGCGAGGGGCAGGATGTTTAGACGCCGCACTAGAGGCGGTTTAGCCAATCACAACACACTGGGCTAGCTAATCAATAAGAGCCCATCGCCTATTTCTGAGGGAGGGGCTTCATAAAAGAAGTAAATGATCAGCGCGTTTCTCAGAGAAGGGACAGAGTGGTGTGGAATAAAGGTAAATTATGTGAAAAAATTATGCATTTAAAAAAAAATAAAGCATTAACACACGTTAGACTGCACCCCATAAACACAATCAAGCCTAGAAAAAAAACCGTGAACCACCCCTTTAAGACTTCCAATTGTTGAAATAATCATTAAACAATCACCATATTGATTAGTCTATTGATTGTAATTATTATCATACATGATATAAATTTCACAACACCATGTGACCTGTAAATGGAAAAAAAAAAGTTTCCATTGCAGTTTTGCAAAATATTCCTTTTTTGAATTGCCCAAAAAACCACCTGATGCAAACAATATATAAGTTAAGTGACGTGTGGCCAAGTATGGTGACTCATATGTAAGGAATAATCAACGGCTAGCCGTGCGTTAAAGGATTTTAAATGCACGACGTGGAGGCAAAGAACCGCCCGGCACGAAGCGGAGGTCATTTGCCAAGTTATAAACAAGTTAAAACTAGTATTGCTCTTTGCAGCACAATATTTGACCAAATGGGTAAAAATGAGTTATTTTCGTCAGTTACGGCACGTTAGCGCTAGCATTCTGCCCACTTGAAATCATACACAGAGATAAAATAGTGCGGTAAGACCACATTTATTTTAATGAATTATAGCATGTATTTCAATTAATTATCGATCGATCATTTGAGAGAGAGAGAGAGACAGAGAGAGATGACAGTTGTGTGTAGCTGCGTCTGCGTGTCTCTCTGTACAAACAATTACTTAAAAAACGGTGACACCACCTCGTTGCTGAGGAATATAATGTAGCGATCTAGTATCTAGGCTATTTTATTAATGAAAATCACGGGGAAGCGTTGACAAGTTTGTGTGTATGTGCAGCGCAATCAGCGATCTCTGACCTCTCCCCCTCTCTCTCTCTCTCTCTCTCTCTCTCTCTCTGTGTGTGTGTGTGTGTGTGTGTGTGTGTGTG